ATCATCAACGTTGGTGACATTATTCAGGTGTGTAAACGATCCTAAACCCTATAATACAATTAAGGAGCTGTTCGTTACGATATTTCAATTAGGGTTTAAGCAAGATTTAGTGACCGATTGGTCTGGATTTACGCAAGAATTTCTATCATGAACTGGTTGAGATGTTATTTGGTTTAGTTTTTTAAGTGCTAAAATTGAATTGAAATGAGTTCTAAGGCTTCGTTTGATAAGACTTTCTTATTATTTTTTAAAATAGCTTTCTAATAAAAAAAATGTTTTTTGTTCTCACTTTATGATAATTCATATACATACTGAGCATAAAATTTATATTATTCATAACTTTAGAACATATCAACAATTTTTTATTTTTAAATAAGAGAGAAAACTTTATGCATAAAAATATATTTCATAAGGAAAATGATGGGGGTTGCCTACAATCCTTCTAAGCAATAAGCATGCAAACTTTATATATATATAATTTTTTTTCTAGTCCAATATGAATGAATTGATTTTCTTTTGTTCATCTGCAACTTGTTTAGGAGTTGGAAAAAATTGGCTCATTAAGGTTTTGTTTGGGATAACTTTTTTACTGCTTTTTAAAATGATTTTTTAGCATAAAAATTAATTTTTTTGTTCAAAAAAGCCGCTTTAAAAAGCAGTAAAAAAACCGTCCCAAACGAAACCTACATATTTATAATGGAAATTATTTGACACTCCCCCAACAGGTGTGGAGCAATGACGCCTACGAGAGCGTAGAGCACCGCGTCTCCGTGAACTCGGAGAGGGAGAGGTTCTCCATCCCCTTCTTCTTCAACCCGTCGCACTACACCAACGTCAAGCCGCTCGAAGAGCTGACGGGCGAGGAGAATCCGGCCAAGTACGAGGAGTATAACTGGGGCCAGTTCTTCAAGGCCAGGAAGAACAGCAATTTCAGGAAGCTGGGCAAGGAGAATGTGCAGATCTATCACTTCAAGAAGGCTCTTTTAGCCAATTAAATAGATTGCATTGCTCAGCTCGGTATCAACGGTATGTATATGTAATAAGATTTGTGGAATTCTGTAACATAGATGTAAGTGTCTGTGCTGCTTGTTTGATTATGGTGTTTGAAAAGCTGGTCCAGCAATGTATGTGCTTGTAAAATGAAAGCCCACAGAATAAACTGAAGTATGAATATTTTAGTCTATATATGGCATAATTACAGTTGTAAATTTGGGAAATGGTATCAGCATTTACTTTATTCAAGGCTTTGTTTGGTTGAGTGGAAAGTTGGTGTCACTTGGAGAAGTAATTATTGTATCCCGACACCGAACGTATCCAAAGACCAATAATAGAGTGCCACCTCACCTGGGCGCTCGGCACCGAGCACTTGATACCGCTCGGTATTCATCCAAATTTCCAATTTTTTTCCGGACGTAATAATTTTCCCACTTTTGGAGTTCTTTCCTGTAAAGAAATTTTTTTGGATTATTTGTGTGTGGAGGAATTGAAAGAGTTTAATTTTTACATGGCAAATACAAGAAAAGAAAAAATCACTGGGCCTAGTCTTATCAAAATCATTCTACATGCATTTTTATTTGGTTATAAATGAAATCCTTAGGCACTGATAAATTACATATTATATTATTGAAGTGGGAATTTATTATAAATTTGTGTTTAAGTTAGGAGTCAGGATTGATGTTGCTGGCAGGCATTAATTTTATAAGTAATAACATGTGTACAATATCGATTATGGTAAATGATGAAGTTTATACGCATTAGACTAGCCAAATGACACTAGTTGGTAGATTCCTATTATGTGAAACTTGTAGATTCAGCATCAGGATTGACTTGTTCTAACTCAATATGTGGTTAAATTATATCTATTGGAAGGCATAAGGGGACATAATTTTTTGAGATTCTATCTGTGTCAGGGGATGTTTTGATGCTTATAAGAAATATTATGATGGCTACAAGTTATATTCTGATACCTACGGGCATATTATGATGTTATAAGCACAAAAGGGAGTCATAAAAGGTCATAATCATTTGAGATTTTGTATGGGTTAGAGGAGTGTGATATGAACTTCTCTCTAACATAAATCACAATTTATTTATTTGCTCAGTAATGTTATTTAAATAATTGAATAATAATTATGCTCCTATTTCATTTAGTACATTAAATTATTAGATTACATTTAACTAATTTTAAATATTTAGCAAAATATTGAATAAAAGAATTTTGAAAATTTAGATTGGTTTATGTGGTTTGCTGAATTATTGTAGCTCGCTATGATTTTGCTTCTTATTTTTAGGCTCTGGGAAATGGTAGAAGCTTGTGGATTAACAATTAAGGATTAATTAGAGTTTATAGATGTTTTTTTTTGTATATTCATGACTAGTTCATTATTAATTTATGTAGCTTTTACATGTAGTCATGTACTGTAGTGTAAATACATTTTGATGAAATGAAAAAAATCTTGTGAATGAATTTATTTTTTATATTTAGATATTTTAGTAGCTCTATATTCTGTAGTTAATTCAAAATGAATATTTGAAGAGAATCTGAAAAATTCTGAAATTAGATTTTAGGATTTGTTTGTCACAGCTTAACACAATAAGACCTATCCTAGTCAAGTTGGATTGTAATAAGCGTTTTTGGTATCAGAGCAATAATTTTGGAAAATATATCATAAAACAGATGTATACTAATTGATCTATAAGTCAAGTGGGGTGGTTTTAAAATATGTCTGGGTATTTATTATTGTTTGTTTATCATACAATTATGTTTAGTTGTATATTATGTGCGATTATGGATATGCTATACTCAGATATGACATAACGGCAGAGTGGCAGCTAGGCAGCTCCTTATATGATACTACTTCGATAGTGGGCTCTGATACAATTTTAAAGTTCGTTAGTCTGATAGCCCAGATGATGGGTGAGGTTATTGACCTCATTCTTGTCATGAGATTGACCAAACTCAAATTCAATTAATCAAATCCAGAATCCAGTTCGAATTCAAAATTCCAAACCAAATTCAAGGTTAAAGGCCTATGTCCTATAATCCCTTTTGGATAATTTTTCAATCACCTTAAAATCCAATCAAATGACCCTCAATTCATGATCTATCAATTACATATTAATTAGGCAATTTTCTAAGGCCAAAATCACCTTGGGCTTAGCTAATTTCCAACCCAGGCTTCACAAAACCAGAATGGCACATGCATTAGATAGTCCTAGGTCCCTTTCACCTTCCATGATCAACCCAACCCTTGGTTTGACCTGGGTCAGGACCCAAGCTAGCCCAAAGTTCCCAGAAGTGGCCTACCCGAGCCACATTGCTTATGTGGGCTCAATTAGACCCAATTAAGCACACTATTGAGTTCAAGGTTTCCCCAAGCACCTTTCCACCTCAGTCTGACCCAGCTGGTGGCCGACGGTGGCTAGAGCAGGGGAAATTGGTGCTATGTTGTCCCCATGTCACATGAGCTAACCAAAGCTTCCCCATGGCCAGAGCTCGTCTCTTTTGGGCTCAGAGAACCTTTCATGGTTGTCCCCGATAACTGGCGACCATCCAACGACCTCTTCAAGCGATCACGGTCGTCTGTCAACATAGATGAAGCTTGAATAGGGCATTCCAATCCAGAGCGCCTCATTCTCTCTTTTTTTATTCAAAAAGCCTCCCCAGAGCTTACTGAGTATTCCCCTAGCTTCCCACACTCTCCATCACTCTCTAGAGGTTGTTTCGAGCAAACTTTGGCTAACTCTTTCCACCCTCCGCTCGAAGTCATACCTCCGATGCTCCTTTAGTCACGATGTCGAAGGAGAAGTCTGCGCCAACTCCTTCTGAAGCTTCTTGATAAAAAAATCCAGCATTAGAGGCTCTCTATGAGGTAAAAAACTCAACCCGATCTCCCTAGCTAGGTAGTTTGGTCAACTTTGAACTAAACCTTCAAACCAATGGATTCTAATCGTTGAATTGAAGGTTTATAACCCCCTGATCCTTCCTACAAATTGTGGGCTATTGGATTCACAATAGTAGAGTGAGAGAATTATAAATCCAAGCGGTGCACGAATGTCCAATACCCAAACAGATAAATGAGATAGCTTTGAAACATCATATATTTTTACGTGGAAAACTTGAAAGAGAAATGATCACGAGGTCTTGCCAAGATGAAAAGACTATTATATATAAGTGTGTTACAAAGATTGGGCCGGCCCTTTACTTGGAGTCAGTGAAATTACAATAGTATGGAGAATCAATCGAAGTTCATATGAGTACTCGGGGCTGAATGACCACAGGTTGTATGGTAGACGATGGCAGTCGGGCAACGATTATCTAACAATGGTGGTCCAACGGTGAAGGCGGCGATGGTCGGGTAAAGGTCCAATAATAATTGGTTGGGCAAAGGTCCAGTTGTGAAAGCTCGTTAGAGGTTCGATAGTGACTGTCAGACAATAAATAATACAATTATAGGGTGGAGGTCTGGCAGTGTTTGTTTGGTTGCAGGTCCAATGATCAACAACCAAGAGGAGGCCCAGCGACGATCGACAACCAGGTGCAGGTTCGATGACAATCAGTAGGTCGGTGGTCTAGCAGCGATGGCTTGACAGAGGTCCGATGGTAGTCAGCAGGTGGGAGGTTTTCTGATCGGCGACTGGGTAGAGGTCTAGCTACGGTGGCTAAGCTGAGGTGTGAAGATCGGCATATGGGCAAAGATCTGTCGGTAGTTGATGGGGCATATGTTCAACAGCAATGATCAACTGAAGAAGGTTTACTGGCAATGATTCTCAAATTGAGTTGTGAGATACTTTCAACCTAGAGCTCTCACCAATCTCTATCTAAAAACTCCTCTTCATATAAAGAGTTGAGACATATTTATAGATTTTAAGTGACATGCCCAATAATATGAGAAAAATCTAAATCATTACATTAGACAGCATGTATTGATTTCTCTGATCATAGATTATTAGCATTTAAGTGCCTAAATAATGTCAAAATTAAGTGATCTTGAACTCATTGTTCAATTCGACTATAAGCATGCCATGTTCAAATATCATTTGGTCATCTAATATATTCTTTGATGTTTCCAAATATGCTTAAGATCATTGATTTAAGCTTAACTGAGCTCGAATTGGATTGTTTTTAATGTCATTGGATCCATTTTATTAAAAACTTTAATTTGACTATAACTTTTGCTAAAATTAAAGTCAAAGTGGTCCCAAATCTAATTTCAAACATTTCCAATTCAAATATGCATCATGATTCGTGCCCGCTAATGATAATTTTTCATTGTATCAATATCCAAATGTTAGAAATACATCATCAAATGCAGTTTTCATTTGCAATGTTACAATCCAAAAGTAAAGGAAAATGCATAACCCAAAGTGTACCTTTCCAACCCAAAAGTCAAATACCTCAAACTTGTCCATTTACGAAATAACATCTTGCATTAATATAAGCTTTGCTCACAATGATCTCATAGCTACAATTGTAAACCATATTTCTGGATCACATAAAGTTATATATGATCTACATCATTTTTTGTTAGGTCCACAGCTTAACATTTTGACATTTTATCTTATAGCAATGGCCCATTTACTCCTTGACATCCATTATTCCCAATTGCATAACATTACCTGCAGAATGTCAAGCATAAATGTCACCTGATTTTGGCTTCGTTTGGGACGACTTTGTCACTGCTTCTTGAAGCGGCTTTTTAGTACTAAAAAGTCATTTCAAGAAACAGTAAGAAAGTCGTCCCAAACGAAGCCTTTATCTACCACATCTATATACAATCAACAAACAGGTTTCCACCCACTCTCAAACGTTCAACTATACCTAGCCAGTAAAATAGAGATAAAAGGACTAAGAAAAACACTAAGTGCAGCATTTTCTCACCATTTGATATCCAGTGTTAAAGCCTCAGGAGGTACCACAATAGATGGAAACTCTGTAAACGATATATTGGACATCAGATGGCTCCAGGCAGCAGATTCAACTATCATCAAAGGCCTGGATAACATCCTTGCAAAAACTGGCTTCAGATCTCTGCCTCCTTCAAATCTGCCAACTATCTCAAACCAAGACCTTTCCACAGTTGGCCTTGTTCTCCACTTGGCAACCTCTTTCCAGGTCCTATCATTCTCTGTGATGTTTCTCTCCACTTCAACTCGAAACTTGAGTAGTTTCGAAGAAATGATTTTTGTTTTTACGAGTCGCAAAGATCGGTCATGCAATATAGTTTTACCCAGAAAACTATTTAGCAATCTCTCCGCGACTGCCGACTTTGAAGAAAGAGTGTGTGAAGAAACTGACTGGACCTGCTCATGGCTGAAACACTTATTGGGCAGCAATTCAATTGTATCAGGGGCTGGGAATGAGGTTTCCACATAAGCTTTCTCATCAGGAACCATGTAGGCTACCAGTGAAGCAGGACCTGCAACTCTGACTGAAACCAATGGAGCACATGAGGAGAGGCCAAGGGGCCAAAAATGGCCCCTCGACTGATTTTGCTTACTTGATCTTTCATTTAGTAAGAAACCAGTATCATATGGGTAAAAGAGGGAGACTTCATCAGAACTATATACTTCAATAGTGATGCCTTTGCCAACAAGCACCCGTCTTAGGCCTTGATGGGTGATGTTAAGCTGCAAAGTAGGAAAATCAACGACACATTAAAAATGGTATGCAAGTAGTTCAAATTTGAGACTGAAGCAAGATAAATTGAACATTTATAAGAGACTTGAGGTGGATGAATGAACTGTGAAACTACAAATAATACATTGGATGATCACACAGGATGAAGAATGGAAAACTAATGTAATGGAAGTCTAAGGTTTCGTTTGGGACGATTTTTTTATTGTTTTCTTAAAACAACTTTTAAGTACAAAAGTTGAAATTTTTGTACTCGAAAGCTGCTTTAAGAAGCAGCAAAAAAGTTGTCCCAAACAAAGCCTAAATCATTTATGACATATGCAGGCAGTCAGGAAAAGACAAGCTTCTATGCTAAAAAAATTAAAAGCTGCAGTGCATAAATTAGTGTCCTTTATTTTATTACAATTTCTCGAAAATCCTGAAAATAGCACATCAAATTAGATGTTCAATTCCATAGAATTCCATAAAATTAGAAGCTCGTCAAATAAAATATCCAAAACTGCTTCCTACCCATAGCAAATGGTATCCAAGAAACCTTGTCAAAGTAATCCATTATACAATTCAAATTAAAGCTTTTTACACTATAAATCATCATTGGTGCAATTGCTCAAGAAGATATTATTTTGAATGCCTTTAATATCCAAAACAATAATCCAAAATCTTAGTTCAAGGACTCTGGAGCATCTGATTATTTGACTGAGGATGTCTTCCAATTTCAAACCAGCGGATTAATAAGTGAAATTAGTAATAGGAGCTGAATCAGGAAGTAATTTAAAAATAAGCAGAATTGGAAAACCTTTTTACACGTTTCAGGAACACAGAAAGCTGTTTTATGCATTAATTAAACCGTTTCATGCATTCTAATAATGAATGTATGAAACAGTTTCTCAGTTTTATTAAAAACCGCAATTCCAATTCACGCATTCAACCGGGCTTCAAATATCTATGAAATTCAAAAATTTGGCACAAAATTTCAGGAGATAAGACCAAAAATCAAGTTGCTATGCACTGAAATTGAGCGCATTTAGCTTGATTTCAACACGAAAACGTGCATAACTTTCGGGAGGGCGTCGTGTTTTATTAGACTAATTGAACCAATTACAATAGTATGCAAGCAAATATAGGGAGCACTTGTCAGCTAATTTACTAACTTTATATTTAAAGTGGGTCGAAATAGCGCACATTTTGCTTTGGAATCGACAAATCACAACACCTTCCCGAAAAATCTGCACATTTTCACGTTGAAACCACACTAAATTGCTCGATTATAGCACTCAACTTGATTTCTGACCTTCATATCTCTCAAAAATTTGTGCCCAATTCTGATAATTGGGAAATATATAAAGTAGCTCGTAAGGATGCTAAGAAAGCAATATGCGATGTAAAGACATTAGTTTTTAGTGATTTATATAATAGATTAGATACTAAAGAGGAAGAAAGATATACATATAAGTTAGTCAAACAAAGAGATAAGAGTAATAAGGATTTAGTTCAAGTGAAGTGTATTAAG